AGTGATGATGAAATTGAAAAATTCTACCAATTTCTTCAGTCTGAAATTGATCAAACATGCAATAAAAAGGTATTGATAATTACTGGTGATTGGAATGTAAAGGTTGGAAATAAAGAAGAAGGATCAGTTGTTGGAAAATATAGCCTTGGTATAGAAATGATGGAGATTACATGATAGAATTTTGCAAAATCAATGACTTACTCATTGAAAATACCTTTTCGAAACAATATAAATCATGACAGCAAACACGGAAACCAAACTGACTACATATGTGGGAAGAGATGGAAGAAAAGTTCTATTTCATAAGCCAAAACAACACCAAGGGCAGATTGTGGAAGAAACCATCAATTGCTCATATTCATGTTCAGGCTGAAGCTGAAAAAAATTAAAGGAAGTCCACGAGAGCCCATGTTTGACTTGAACATATCCCACTTGAATTTGAACATGTGCCACCTGAACATAGACACCATTTCAAAAACAGATTCAATGTATTACACTCAAATTACTTAAAACCAGAAGAGTTGTGGGATGATATAAAAAACATCACACAGGAAGAAAGCAAAAGGAGAGACTCTGAAATTTGCTGTCCAGTGCAGAGATGTTAAAGCAAATGGAAGACGAGGTCATAAAAGATCTGAATAGAAAATTTCAAAGGGCAACTGGAGAAGACAAAGTCAAGTATAAGAATGAACTGTTCAAATTCTTGGAGTTAGAAAACCAAAAGGGAACAAAATGCTCAGCATTTCTCAAACTGAAAGAACTGAAGAAAAAAACAAAGTTTCAGCTTTACAATATTGAAGCATTTTATAGGCAAATATTGAATGATGCAGAAAGTATCAAACGAACTTAGAAGGAATACACAGAGTCACTGTACCAAAAAGAAATGGTTGATAGTCAACCATTTCAAGAGATAACAAATGATCGAGTCAGTGGTATTGAAGAAAGAAGTTCAAGGGGCATTGAAGGCATTGGCAAAGAGCAAGGCTCCAGGATTTGACGGAACACAAACTGAAATATTTCAACAACTAGAGGCAGAACTGGAGGCATTCACTGACTGAGAACCAACAACAGCAGACAACAATCAGCGACTGACATACACGGCAACACCACCCAAAATT